TACAGTTGAACGCATATTTATGATAGGTATACATAGCAAAAATTTTACTGGAAAATATTTAATATGCACAGTTATAAAAAAAAGTCGGATAGATTTGTGCTAATCGCATCGTTCTATCTTCACTAATAACGGAGATATAACTACAACCGAATAATTCCAACCAAAATGGGACACTTTATAAAAATTATCTAGTCTCAAAGCATAACCCTTAAGACAATCATTTATATAAAAAGATAAACTAACGGAGATACCATATAATTTCAACCAAAATGGGACACACTGTACAGGGTGATCAAAATTGGTCTGTTTTAACAGAGAAAACCCATTTCCTGACTAGATAGAGCAAAACCGACATAGATGTCATGGGCTCGATTTCTGAGAAACGTTTAATGGCCTAAACCGCCTCTTCATATTTTCACTGCCAACCCAGATACAGTCTTTTTGAATTTTTTACCATTTGGAAAATTGCCCATAACTTTTGTATTTCCCGGAATAATAAAATTCTGTTATAACGTTCTTAAGGCACTTTTTTAAGCACAATCCAGTGGCGTAGTCAGTTTTTTTCTATACTTGCTTTTTTAGTCAGAAATAATAAAAAATATAATTTTTTAAATGGAAATTATAGTTGGCTATGAACTTAAAAAAATGCTGGCGTTTAACCCTTTCCAATGATATCAAGTTATGTGTATTTATTTCTAAAAATGAGAGAAATATTAAGTTTTTTATCTTTGTATCGAAGCGGGCCTAGATTTTGTGTTTATAGTTGCCTAATTATTTTTTATCACAATTTAATATTCTATATCAATATTTATCTGCATTATTAAAGACTTTTGGAAAGGTAAATCAACACTCTATATTAGTATTACCATTTACAATTAAAAAGCCAGGGGGTTCCAACTCCACTATTAAATGGAGAATTTAGAGAGAATTGGATTGGAACAACGGATCCCATATCTTGGCCTGCTAGGTCCTGTGATGGAACTCCTTTCGACTTTTTTTATGAGGGAAATTAAAAGGCCTTATATATAAGAGAAGAACCATTCGGACGAAAGAAGAATTACAGAAAGCTACTAGGCAAGCTTTTGGACTTATTACACCAGTTCGCCTAATAAAGTGTTCTAACTCTGTGCGCAAAAGATGTTCATTGTATATTCAACAAGGGGGTGCTCAGTTTGAACATCTTTGATGATTTTTTTTAGAAAACTATATTCGTCACTCAAAAAATACTTTTTTTTAGTTTTATTCCTTGTTTATTGTATCGATTTCAATTGTAATTACTTATACTAATATAGAATGTTAATTTACCTTTTCAAAAGTTAATTACGCAGATAAATAATAATATAGAATATTAAATTGTGATAAAAATAATTAGGCAAATAAGTCAACACAAAATCAAGGCCCGCTTCGATACAAAGATAAAAAACTTTATATTTCTCTCATTCTTAGAAATAAATACACATAACTTTATATCGTTGGAAAGGGTTAAACGCCAAAAATTTTTTTAAGTTCATAGCCAACTATGATTTCCATTTAAAAAGTTATATTTTTTATTATTTCTGACAAAAAGAGCATGTATAGACGTTTTACAAGATAGATATGTTTTTACAGAATTTTATTATTCCGCGAAATACAAAAGTTATGGGCAATTTTCCAAATGGTAAAAAATTCAAAAAGACCCCCCCTATCTCAGTTGGCACTGAAAATATCAACAGGCGGTGTACGCCATTAAACGTGTCTCAGAAATCGAACTCATGACTTCTATGTCGGTTTTGCTCTATCTAGTCAGGAAATAGACCAATTTCGACCACCCTGTACATCCGTTTTAAAAAATAAATTATAGAAATTATCAACTCTCAAAGCATAACTCTTAAGACAACCATTTATATAAAAACATAAACTTTTCCTCCAAGAAGCGTCTAATACAAACTAATTAATTTGACGTTTGCTCTGCTCGAAGACCGGAGTTTCCGGGACTTCGTTAGGCCGTATTCACACGAAGCGGTGCGAGGCGGAGTTCGCTTTAATCTACTTAGAAAATCGACGAGATCGGGCCATTTTTTCCTATGCGACACCGAGAACTAATTTGCGAACGCAGCTGAAGGGCAAACGAAGCCGTCTTGTCGATACGAACCGTGGAATCTAATTTGAGTTAAAGTCAAAAAATGAATACAAGGAATTGGCTACGCAGTAAACTACAAAATAGAGAATACTGTTAGATATTCTTCTTCTTACAGTGTCGAGCATTATCAGGGTGCTACAAACTCGAGGTACGAGCGTTAGTATCTCGGTAAATGTAATAGATACGAAGATGGTTAAATTGGGGTAAAGTTGCGCCTTGGGATGTTCACCAAGATGTCATCAAAAAAGCTTTTGAAATTTTAAAGGATCGCTGAGTTTTTTTGGAAAAAACGGATTTAAAATCAATTTTATTTTTTCCTGTCATTACTTTTTAGAACATCAAAAAACTAATTCCACATTCTGATAGCCACTTTATTAGGGCTATCTGATAGAGTATCTTTAGATTTTCAAATTAGCTGATAATTTGTGAGATACCAACTTAATTTTTTTAAATACGGACCCGAATTTTTAATTTCAATTTTTTAAAGAACTCGTTCTCCTGAATACAATGATATGCCACACTTTATACTTTTTTTTTGTTTCGGACATTTAAACTAATTTCAAGTCCTGTTTTTTTTTAATATTAAATCATCGTTACAATATTGATAAGTCTTCAAACTTAACAATGACGTGGGGTAAAACATTGAATACGGAAAATCAAATGCAATAAAAAATTAAAAATAATATAAATATAATATAATATGAAATGAACAAAATTCTTACAGCTTTAGTGTATATTAATAAATAATATTTTCTTGCCTTTAGCTGTGTATTCTTTCTAATTTCGAAAAATCGAAAGTAGAGAAAAAATTAAAAAAAAATAAAAAGTAAAAAGAAAATTGTTTTGCTTGCCGTAAACCCAGCCCCTGGACAGCCCACCTGATGAAGGGTAGGCCCAGAAACCGGTTGTGGGAGTGGAGCTTGGTTCCCCCCTTTACGGCAAGCAAAACAATTTTCTTTTTACTTTTTATTTTTTTTTAATTTTTTAGGAGGGGATTGCTTCATGTCATTTATAAAAGTGAAATCAACATTTTCAACATTTACAATAAAGAGTACAAAATGCATTCGGAAGTATAAGAAGAAGATATGTTCAAAGAACTATAAATAAAATTGAACGAATAATAAATTTTTGCAATAGGTGGTAACCCATTCGAACATGTAGAGCATTAGAACCTAGTTTGTAGAAGTTGATTTATTTATAATAACTACGATTAATATTATGCTCAGATTTCAAATTCACATTAAAAAAGTTAAAAATAATATCTTGAAATTGCTGATCTGGATATTATTTATTTCAATCTTTCAGTTGGCTCGATTTTCTTATTCAGTATTAATTAGCGCTGATCAATATTGTTGCGTTGAATATAATCAGATTAAATAATTTAAAAACCCAGAATCGGACTTGAAATTATTTTAAATAATAATTAAATAGTTTTGTTGTTGTTAAGGTACACAAAACAAAAAAAAAAGTATAAAGTGTGCATATCATTGGAGACCGAGTTCTTTCAAAATCTGAAATAAAAAATGCAGGTCCGTATTTAAAAAAATGAAGTTGGTCTCTGCATCTCACACATTATCAGCTAATTTGAAAATCTAAAAATACTGTCAGATAGTCCTAATAAAGTAGCCATAAGAATGTGCAATTAGTTTTTTCATTTTCTAAAAAATAACGACAGGAAAAAATAAAATTGATTTTCAAAAAAATCCGTTTTTTTTTTCAAAAAACAGCAATTCTTGAAATTTTTAAAACTTTTTTAATGGCATCTTGGTGAACAGCCCAAGATGCAACTTTGCCCCAATTTAACCATCTCGATCTAACCATCGAATTTGTTGCACCCTGTATAGCGTAGTCGTATACAGCCCTGGTCACTTCATTTGCGTGGTCTGTATTTTAATGCATGCGACAGAAATAAATATAGATGACCGGTTGACAGACAAAAAGACAAAATAAAAAGCGGGATAAAGTGTTGCCGGTTTTTAAGTTTCTAGGAAAATGTGTGTAGAAAAAAAACTGTTTTAAAAACTTTCATGTATACTACTTAATGAAGATAATATATCTAAGCAAAATATAATCTATTACAGCGGTAGTAAAATGAGTAACTAATTGTGAAAAATAAAGTTCCAACCCCAGACGCAACATTTTTCATATACGCCGAGTATGTCTGTTGGAAAGAAGTGTTACTCATAAACAATTAAGTTATGAAATATAATTGAGGTAAGGTTTGGTATTTATTTTACAATGAGTGAGTGGTCTTGAATTTTAGTTTCATAATAGATACTTATATAAATAATAGAACACATTCTAATAATAGAACAGTTTATTTGTATTTAGTAGATATTTAGTGCAAAATAAATGTTTTACAAAATATTTTTTTCTCTTTGGTAGTCATCTAGACAAGGAGTGCGGTAATGAAAATGGTAACTCACTCAAAATGCATGAGTTAAGAGCTTCTTAACTGACTAACGTAGATAAAAATATTATATTTAACTACTATTTTTCGTTATTACTAACAGAATTTTGTGCAAACTACATATAGCTTTATGTCTTTTTTTGTATAATACTATGTGTTTCATCTGTTACGTTTTCTCATATATCTTACTTTCTTCTTAAATATGTATTGTAAGTCCGTTTGCAATATTTTTATATTTCTACAAACCCTGCAACAGTGCATCGGGCATCTGTAGCTCCTATAAAACAGAACTCTTGTTTAAATGCATACCTACAGAAATTTTGTTTAAATGCATCCCTAAAGGATATACTAGGGCCGTAAGGGCATACCTAAAGGATGTACTGTTCAGAAAAATATATTAACTTCTACAGGGTGGCAAAAAAGTAAGTAGATCGGGATGATTTTTTAATAGTTTCATAAAAATGTACCTACCTCCACCATTCTGATAACATATATAAGGAAACCTCCAGACATTTCCTAAATCCACGGCAAAACCTACAACAGCCAACAGGAACTCTACCTTCTTGTTCCATGTTTCTCGTCTTCGTTCGGGGGTTAAACCTACCACTACAACTCTAGTAATGTTGTCTTTGGATTTAGGGACAAGTTTGGCAGGATCTTTATTATTAACTGCAACAAAAAATAATTTACATCTAAACAAGTAAATGGCTAAAGGTGGGTTTTTGGTAATTTTTTAAAGTTTTATTTAAACGGGCTATTTTTAAACACTTAAATAAAATATTCTTTTGCCACAGTCTGGGTTTTTTGCACAAACACCATTGCGTTGAATGGAAACGGAAACCAGCTTTTCAGTGGCTCTTTACTAGTAAATCAAATTTGCCAAACCGACAAAAACTGTTACCGTTGCAAGAGGTTCTCAATATAATCGAAAAAAAAACAGCCACAACGATAGTTAAAAAAAATAAAAATCGATGTATTTTATATGTAAAATTATATGGGGAATGTCATTGATGTCCGTCATTGATTCAACCCTATATCTCAACGTGTTCCCGAGATAAAGGTCATGACAGACACGGATGTTTGTCCGTCCGTGATAAAAAGTGATCTTAGAAAGGTTCCGTTTTTCCTTTTGAGGTACGGAACTCCAAAAATATCTTTTCAAATAACTACCCCAAAAGAAGAAAGAAAAGACATGATTTGATTCCTTTAAAATCAAAGTACAGAAATGAAATTTCTTTTTTTAAATGGCTTGAATTTTATTTTGTAAAATTACTTATAATAATAAGTAGAACTACTCAATATAACAACTGTTTATTAGAACATATCTGAGTTATAGAGTATAATAATAAAAAAAAATGAAGTAGCTTAATGCATGACTTATCGAACACCGTATGCATAACTGACCAACACCGTAAAAATCGACACGGTTGGTCGATGAAATCACTTTATGAATAACTGTCTCGAAACTAGTCACCCCACCATGTGAGGGGTTTTTTGAAAAAATATATATAATTTTGAGTTATCATGCCTTTTATTCCTTCTTTTGAACCTCAAAAATATACCTAGACATTATTTAAAAACCAGCATGCTTGAACCAAACCAAATCACAGATACTTACGTCCAGTTTTGCTAGGTGATTTGGTACAGTTGTCTGTGGCGCCATCGTCAGCTGGACTGGTGGGTGGGTTGTGGTTGGCCTTGACGTGGTTGGTGCAGTTCTGGTCTTCTGGATCTTCTGGAGCACCGACCATCTTGGATGTCGAACAGTCGGGGCCTGGTTAGTGACGGTGCTCGAATAACGGGTACATGGTCTAAACTTTCAAGAGAACAGCTCTTTACTTTTAAATATTAACTTTAGAAAATATTGAGTTAGGCAATAAGGAATTTAAAAATAAAATTGTGAATATGTGTTAAATATAGTAATGAGCGATATATCAGAAACTGAGATTTAATTACTACTATATCAAAAAATCATGTAACGTAACTGTTACCGAAAATCGTACAAACGGTAAGAAAAAAAATCAAATAAATTGTGGCAGTTTTTTGAGCCGTTAAATAGTAGTACATCATATATGTAATATGTGTAAATTAAAATTATCATAAACGTAATAAACCATTTAAAAATTAAGCATCGTATAATATGGTTACAATTATTATAACTTCAAATCTAGCCATGAAACAGAGTGAAAGTCATGATCACATCACGCTTTTAAATCACTGATGTCTAACATCACGGTATCAGTTGTCACTTGTCACGACATTCTACATTAGTTATAGCCATAGAACAGTATGAAAGTCACGATTACGTCACCCTTTTAAATCACTGAGGTTAATAAATGCCGTTATTTACAGTATTAGTTAAAAGCGTGATTTAAAAATGACTGTATCGCTCATCCCTATTTAAATATTATATCGGCACAATATCTAGACCTTTAAATCCTCGAACTAACATATACAAACAATATTTTTATAAAGATATCTACAAACCAGAGAACACAAAATATACTAGAGCGTCTAATACAAAACAAATATAAGAAAAGTACGAAAAGTAAAAATGCTGAAAAACAAAATTGACAATGAACCTAACAAATGTTTATAAACACCAGAATTTTGAATTTATAATTTTTAGTATTAACAATCAAGCGCTGCTGTCTATTCTATTATTCTTTGGTTCATCGAGGTGTATATATTTTTAACATTTTAATATTAGAGGGATATTAAAAAAAAGGAATGATTGATGATGACTCTTTTTTCAATACTAAAAATAAATTTATTTTTCTTCGATTTAAAATTGTATACAGACTGCTATCCTGAAAAAAAAAACTCAAACTTATCTCCTCTGTGTTCTTTTGTCAATTTTGTTCTTTTGATGAAATATTTTGCAGTTTTTAAAGGGAGGATTTTTTTATTAAATTATCTGACATAAATGACGCCTAAAATTAACTAAGGGGGGGGGGGGGATGCAACCCCCCCAAAAAAAAACTCAAACCACTCAACGTAAGAAGCTCAATTTTGGCATACAGGTTGATTCTAGGGTGTAGAGGTTCGATAAGAAGGGATTTTTCGAAATTCCAGTTCCAAGAGGGTGAAACCACCCCTCAAATATTACAATATTTTATATTTAAAAACGGTCAAGTTTCCGAAAAAACGCTTAAACACGTATATTTTATTTTGTTTTTGTACATATTTTAAGATTTTTTAAAAATGTATACAGGGTGTTTCAAAAAATCTGGTCATTGATTAATCACAATCCTGCTTAAAGCGCTTGACGTAAAAAGCTGATTTTTGGAAAACAGATTGACTTTAGGGTGTAGAGGTTCGATAAGAAGGGATTTTTCGAAACTCGAATTCTAAGAGGGTGAAACTATCCCTCAAATATTAAAATATATTTTATTTAAAAATCGGTGAGTTTTTCGGAAAAAACTCTTAAACACGTATATTTTATTTTGTTGTTTTACATATTTTAAGATTTTTATAAATTTATACAGGGTGTTTCATAAAATATGACCATTGAGTAATCACGATTCTGCTTAAACTGCTTGACGTTTAAAGCTGATTTTGGCAAACGGATTGACTGTGGTGTGTAGAGTTCGATAAGGAGGGGTTCTCGAATCTCAAATTCCAAGAGGGTGAAACCGCCCCTTAAATATTACAATATTTGTTATTTAAAAAACGGTTAGTCTTTCGGGAAAACGTTTGGACAAACATAATTTATTTAGTTTTTTTACATATTTTGAATTTTTTTTTTTTATGGCATCTTGGTGAACAGCCCAAGACGCAACTTTGCCCCAATTTAACCATCTCGATCTAACCATCGAATTTGTTGCACCCTGTATAGCGTAGTCGTATACAGCCCTGGTCACTTCACTTGCGTGGTCTGTATTTTAATGCATGCGACAGAAATAAATATAGATGACCGGTTGACAGACAAAGAGACAAAATAAAAAGCGGGATAAAGTGTTGCCGGTTTTTAAGTTTCTAGGAAAATGTGTGTAGAAAAAAAACTATTTTAAAAACTTTCATGGATACTACTTAATGAAGATAATATATCTAAGCAAAATATAATCTATTACAGCGGTATTAAAATGAGTAACTAATTGTGAAAAATAAAGTTCCAACCCCATATGCAACATTTTTCATAAACGCCGAGTATGTCTGTTGGAAAGAAATGTTACTCATAACCATTTAAGTTATGAAATATAATTGAGGTAAGGTTTGGTATTTATTTTACAATGAGTGAGTGGTCTTGAATTTTAGTTTCATATCAGAATTTGATAATAGATACTTATATAAATAATAGAACACATTCTAATAATAGAACAGTTTATTTGTATTTAGTAGATATTTAGTGCAAAATAAATGTTTTACAAAATATTTTTTTCTCTTTGGTAGTCATCTAGACAAGGAGTGCGGTAATGAAAATGGTAACTCACTCAAAATGCATGAGTTAAGAGCTTCTTAACTCACTAACGTAGATAAAAATATTATATTTAACTACTATTTTTCGTTATTACTAACAGAATTTTTCTTACTAACAGAATTCTAAAATTAACTAAGGGGGGGGGGGAATGCTACCCCCCCAAAAAAAAACTCAAACCACTCAACGTAAGAAGCTCAATTTTGGCATACAGGTTGATTCTAGGGTGTAGAGGTTCGATAAGAAGGGATTTTTCGAAATTCCAGTTCCAAGAGGGTGAAACCACCCCTCAAATATTACAATATTTTATATTTAAAAAACGGTCAAGTTTCCGAAAAAAACGCTTAAACACGTATATTTTATTTTGCTTTTGTACATATTTTAAGATTTTTTAAAAATGTATACAGGGTGTTTCAAAAAATCTGGTCATTGATTAATCACAATCCTGCTTAAAGCGCTTGATGTAAAAAGCTGATTTTTGGAAAACAGATTGACTTTAGGGTGTAGAGGTTCGATAAGAAGGGATTTTTCGAAACTCGAATTCTAAGAGGGTGAAACTATCCCTCAAATATTAAAATATATTTTATTTAAAAATCGGTGAGTTTTTCGGAAAAAACTCTTAAACACGTATATTTTATTTTGTTGTTTTACATATTTTAAGATTTTTTATAAATTTATACAGGGTGTTTCATAAAATATGACCATTGAGTAATCACGATTCTGCTTAAACTGCTTGACGTTTAAAGCTGATTTTTGGCAAACGGATTGACTGTGGTGTGTAGAGATTCGATAAGGAGGGGTTCTCGAATCTCAAATTCCAAGAGGGTGAAACCGCCCCTTAAATATTACAATATTTGTTATTTAAAAAACGGTTAGTCTTTCGGGAAAACGTTTGGACAAACATAATTTATTTAGTTTTTTTACATATTTTGAAATTTTTTTAAAAATCATACAGGGTAAAAAGCTTATTTTACAACTTAAGCTTTTTTAAACTGCTTGACGTAAAAAGCTTATTTTTGGCAAACGGATTCTTCGAAAATCAAATTCCAACGAGATGAAACTACCCCTCACGTATTACCAAGTTATATAATAATATCGCCATATTGTTTTTTCTCATGCTGACATAAATGTGAGAAAATTTTATCCAGTTTGTATGTTCATGGAAATTCTTGCTTTGCTTTATCATCACCATTACAAATGATTAATTCGACGCGAACGAAGTCGCTGGTACATGCTAGTTATTAAATAAAATATTAAGGATGGTACGATTTTATTTTAATTTTAGAGTTGTCATAACAATAATTATTTATACATGTTATAATGTTCAATAATGTTAAATTTAAATTATAAATTAATAAAACAATTTTTTTTAAAACAAGGGTTTTTATTCCTATCACGATACATTATTACATGTATTATGGCCTCAAAAAAAAGTGGGAAGTTGGGAAAATTGTTTGTCCTCCCCCCCCCCAAAAAAATTATAGCGTCACCACTGCAGTTATGTATCTGCGTTTTATTGCTTCATATCAGGCACAAGAAGGGCCTGGTAACGTAACAACGACGTCACCTAGAACACATTTCCTTTAAAGGAACAAAATGCTCAATGGGGTGTCACTTCTGACCCAGTCAACTGCAGGGAGTAGGGATAAGATCTCTCTCACACAATAAGCCTTTTTCCACTCTCTACAGTTTTCAGCTATTATTATTATTGTTTGTGCATCAACCGTAAATAGTGACATTTACAATTATAATTTCACTATTTCAGTGTTCAGATAAATTTACACACTGACAATAAGTGAATCATTTTTTCTACAAAAATGATCCTAATAATCCTAGGAATAATTTATATGGGTTTAGCTAGTATCAAAATATAAATTTAACTTTTGTTTAAAAGTAATGAAAAAAACAGTGTTTAAAAGTAATGAAAAAAACAATAAAATTAATCTAATCATAACATAAACAGAAGTAACAGAACTTGGATGTGATAAATTAATAACGATTTTTAATTTTTGTATTGAATATTTTGTAAAAAAAATTTTGTTCAATGCCCTCGAGTAAATTCATTTCTACTGCTCCTAACACTTAGTTCAGTCATTGGGGATCAAAAAAGGAGCCTGCTTGGACAAAAGTGCGGAAGTTTTGCAACTTTGCAGGTTTATAGGCTTTGGGGTCCCTAACTAATATCCATCAAATGCACATTTCCAGACTTGCCGCCGGCGCCGCCATCTTCCCAAGATGGCGCCCAAAATCGGAAACTATGCGTTTTTCGCGAAAATTTGAGGAGAGCAAAATTAAAGAGAATAAAATTTCCTATAAACAAGGTTTTATGAGAATTTTCGCTAAAGTCAACCGTTTAGGCACAAAATCCCAGGAAATTTTTCAATTTTGCGATTA